GTCGTTGTGCTAGTGTATATGTCGTTGTGTAGTGTATATGTCTATGTATGCTAGTGTATATGTCGATGTAGTGTATATGTCGTTGTTCTAGTGTATATGTCGTTGCTAGTGTATATGTCATTATGCTAGTGTATATGTCGTTGTGGTAGTGTATATGTCGTTGTGCTAGTGTATATGTCCTCATGCTAGTGTATATGTCGTTGTCGTAGTTTATATGTCCTCATGCTAGTGTATATGTCGTTGTACTAGTGTATATGTCGTTGTGCTAGTGTATATGTCCTGATGCTAGTGTATATGTCCTCATGCTAGTGTATATGTTGTGCTAGTGTATATGTCTTTGTACTAGTGTATATGTCGTTGTGCTAGTGTATATGTCGTTGTGCTAGTGTGTATGTCCTCATGCTAGTGTATATGTCGTTGCGCTAGTGTATGTCATTATGGTAGTGTATATGTCGTTGTGCTAGTGTGTATGTCCTCATGCTAGTGTATATGTCTTTGTGGTAGTGTATATGTCGTTGTGGTAGTGTATATGTCGTTGCGGTAGTGTATATGTCGTTGTGGTAGTGTATATGTCGTTGTGCTAGTGTATATGTCGTTGCAGTAGTGTATATGTTCTTGTGATAGTGTATATGTCGTTGTGCCACTGTGTGGGTATATGTCCTTGGGGTAGTGTTTAGTTTGTGGGTGTGGTAGTGTGTGATTATATGTCATGGTAGTGTGAGTATATGTCGTGGTAATGTGAGTATATGTCATGATAGTGTGAGTATATGTCGTGATGTGAATGTCATGGTAGTGTGAGTATATGTCTTGGTAGTGTGAGTATACGTCGTGGTAGTGTGAGTATATGTCGTGGTAATGTGAGTATATGTCATGGTAGTGTGAGTATACGTCGTGGTAGTGTGAGTATATGTCGTGGTAGTGTATGTCATGGTAGTGTGGGAATATGTCGTGGTAGTGTGAGTATATGTCGTGGTAGTGTATGTCATGTTAGTGTGAGTATATGTCATGGTAGGGTGAGTATATGTCGTGGTAGTGTATGTCCTGGTAGTGTGAGTATATGTCGTGGTAGTGTGAGTATATGTCGTGGTAGTGTGAGTGTATGTTGTGGTAGTGTGAGTATATTGGCAGACGATGCACCATCCCCCCAATGAAAAGCAGGGGTGTCACTAGCACGTTAAGAGACCATACAATAAGTGTCAGGGGCCCGAGACTGTTCAACTGCCTCCCAGCACACATAAGGGGGATTACCAACAGACCCCTGGCAGTCTTCAAGCTGGCACTGGACAAGCACCTAAAGTCAGTTCCTGATCAGCCGGGCTGTGGCTCGTACGTTGGTTTGCGTGCAGCCAGCAGCAACAGCCTGGTTGATCAGGCGCTGATCCACCAGGAGGCCTGGTCACAGACCGGGCCGCGGGGGCGTTGACCCCCGAAACTCTCTCCAGGTAAACTCCAGGTAGTGTATGTCATGTTAGTGTGAGTATATGTCGTGGTAGTGAATGTCATGGTAGTGTGAGTATATGTCGTGGTAGTGTGAGTATATGTCGTGGTAGTGTGAGTATATGTCATGATAGTGTGAGTATATATCCTGGTAGTGTGAGTATATGTCGTGGTAGTGTATGTCATGTTAGTGTGAGTATATGTCGTGGTAGTGTATATCATGGTAGTGTGAATATATGTCGTGGTAGTGTATGTCATGGTAGTGTGAGTATATGTCGTGGTAGTGTATGTCATGGTAGTGTGAGTATATGTCGTGGTAGTGTGAGTATATGTCGTGGTAGTGTGAGTATATGTCGTGGTAGTGTATGTCATGGTAGTGTGAGTATATGTCGTTGGTAGGTATGTCATGGTAGTGTGAGTATATGTCGTGGTAGTGTGAGTATATGTCGTGGTAGTGTGAGTATATGTCGTGGTAGTGTATGTCACGGTAGTGTGAGTATATGTCATTGTAGTGTATGTCATGGTAGTATGAGTATATGTCATGGTAGTGTCAATGTATGTCGTGGTAGTGTATATGTCATTGTAGCGTGAGTGTATGTCGTGGTAGTGTGAGTATGTCATGGTAGTGTGAGTATATGTCATGATAGTGTGAGTATATGTCGTGGTAGTGTATGTCATGGTAGTGTTAGTATATGTCATGGTAGTGTGAGTATGTCGTGGTAGTGTGAGTATATGTTATTGTAGCGTGAGTGTATGTCGTTGTAGTATATGTCATGGTAGTGTGAGTATATGTCATGATAGTGTGAGTATATGTCGTGATAATGTGAGTATATGTCGTTGTAGTGTGAGTATATGTCATGGTAGCGTGAGTATATGTCGTGGTAGTGTATGTCATGGGAACGTGAGTATATGTCGTGGTAATGTGAGTATATGTCGTTGTAGTGTGAGTATATGTCATGGTAGCGTGAGTATGTCGTGGTAGTGTATGTCATGGGAACGTGAGTATATGTCATGGCAACGTGAGTATATGTCGTGGTAATGTGAGTATATGTCATGGTAGCGTGAGTATATGTCGTGGTAGTGTGAGTGTATGTCATGGTAATGTGAATTTATATCATTGTAATGTGAGTATATGTTGTGGTAATGTGAGTATATGTCGTGGTAGTGTGAGTATATGTCATGTTAATGTGAATGTGTCGTGGTAGTGTGAGTATATGTCATGTTAGTGTGAATGTGTCGTGGTAGTGTGAATATATGTCGTGGTCATGTGAGCACATGTTGTGGTAGTGTGTTATGTGAGTACATGTCGTGGTAGTGTTATGTGAGTACATGTCGTGGTAGTGTGTTATGTGAGTACATGTTGTGGTAGTGTGTTATGTGAGTACATGTCGTGGTAGTGTTATGTGAGTACATGTTGTGGTAGTGTGTTATGTGAGTACATGTTGTGGTAGTGTGTTATGTGAGTACATGTTGTGGTAGTGTTATGTGAGTACATGTTGTGGTAGTGTGTTATGTGAGTACATGTTGTGGTAGTGTGTTATGTGAGTACATGTTGTGGTAGTGTTATGTGAGTACATGTTGTGGTAGTGTGTTATGTGAGTACATGTTGTGGTAGTGTGTTATGTGAGTACATGTCGTGGTAGTGTTATGTGAGTACATGTTGTGGTAGTGTGTTATGTGAGTACATGTTGTGGTAGTGTGTTATGTGAGTACATGTGGTAGTGTTATGTGAGTACATGTCGTGGTAGTGTTATGTGAGTACATGTCGTGGTAGTGTTATGTGAGTACATGTCGTGGTAGTGTTATGTGAGTACATGTGGTAGTGTGTTATGTGAGTACATGTTGTGGTAGTGTGTTATGTGAGTACATGTTGTGGTAGTGTGTTATGTGAGTACATGTTGTGGTAGTGTGTTATGTGAGTACATGTTGTGGTAGTGTGTTATGTGAGTACATGTTGTTGTAGTGTGTTATGTGAGTACATGTTGTGGTAGTGTTATGTGAGTACATGTTGTGGTAGTGTGTTATGTGAGTACATGTTGTGGTAGTGTGTTATGTGAGTACATGTTGTGGTAGTGTGTTATGTGAGTACATGTTGTGGTAGTGTGTTATGTGAGTACATGTCGTGGTAGTGTTATGTGAGTACATGTTGTGGTAGTGTGTTATGTGAGTACATGTTGTGGTAGTGTGTTATGTGAGTACATGTTGTGGTAGTGTGTTATGTGAGTACATGTCGTGGTAGTGTTATGTGAGTACATGTCGTGGTAGTGTTATGTGAGTACATGTCGTGGTAGTGTTATGTGAGTACATGTTGTGGTAGTGTGTTATGTGAGTACATGTTGTGGTAGTGTGTTATGTGAGCGCATGTTGTGGTAGTGTTATGTGAGTACATGTTGTGGTAGTGTGTTATGTGAGTACATGTCGTGGTAGTGTTATGTGAGTACATGTCGTGGTAGTGTTATGTGAGTACATGTTGTGGTAGTGTGTTATGTGAGTACATGTCGTGGTAGTGTTATGTGAGCACATGTTGTGGTAGTGTGTTATGTGAGTACATGTTGTGGTAGTGTTATGTGAGTACATGTTGTGGTAGTGTGTTATGTGAGTACATGTTGTGGTAGTGTGTTATGTGAGTACATGTTGTGGTAGTGTTATGTGAGTACATGTTGTGGTAGTGTGTTATGTGAGTACATGTTGTGGTAGTGTGTTATGTGAGTACATGTTGTGGTAGTGTGTTATGTGAATGCATGTTGTGGTAGTGTGTTATGTGAGTACATGTTGTGGTAGTGTGTTATGTGAATGCATGTTGTGGTAGTGTGTTATGTGAATGCATGTTGTGGTAGTGTGTTATGTGAGTACATGTTGTGGTAGTGTGTTATGTGAGCACATGTCGTGGTAGTGTGTTATGTGAGCACATGTTGTGGTAGTGTGAGTACATGTTGTGGTAGTGTGTTATGTGAGCACATGTTGTGGTAGTGTGTTATGTGAGTACATGTTGTGGTAGTGTTATGTGAGTACATGTTGTGGTAGTGTGTTATGTGAGTACATGTTGTGGTAGTGTTATGTGAGTACATGTTGTGGTAGTGTGAGTACATGTTGTGGTAGTGTGTTATGTGAGTACATGTTGTGGTAGTGTGTTATGTGAGTACATGTTGTGGTAGTGTGAGTACATGTTGTGGTAGTGTGTTATGTGAGTACATGTTGTGGTAGTGTGTTATGTGAGTACATGTTGTGGTAGTGTGTTATGTGAGCACATGTTGTGGTAGTGTGTTATGTGAGTACATGTTGTGGTAGTGTTATGTGAGTACATGTTGTGGTAGTGTTATGTGAGTACATGTTGTGGTAGTGTTATGTGAGTACATGTTGTGGTAGTGTGTTATGTGAGTACATGTTGTGGTAGTGTTATGTGAGCACATGTTGTGGTAGTGTTATGTGAGCACATGTTGTGGTAGTGTTATGTGAGTACATGTTGTGGTAGTGTTATGTGAGTACATGTTGTGGTAGTGTGAGTACATGTTGTGGTAGTGTGTTATGTGAATGCATGTTGTGGTAGTGTGTTGTGAGCACATGTGTTAATGTGTTATGTGAGCACATGTTGTGGTAGTGTTATGTGAGTACATGTTGTGGTAGTGCGTTATGTGAATGCATGTTGTGGTAGTGTGTTGTGAGCACATGTGTTAATGTGTTATGTGAGCACATGTTGTGGTAGTGTGTTATGTGAGTACATGTTGTGGTAGTGTGTTATATGAGTACATGTCGTGGTAGTGTGTTATGTGAGCACATGTTGTGGTAGTGTGTTATGTGAGCACATGTTGTGGTAGTGTACGTGAGTACATGTTGTGGTAGTGTGTTATGTGAGTACATGTCGTGGTAGTGTGTTATGTGAGCACATGTTGTGGTAGTGTGTTATGTGAGCACATGTTGTGGTAGTGTACGTGAGTACATGTTGTGGTAGTGTGTTATGTGAGTACATGTCGTGGTAGTGTGTTATGTGAGCACATGTTGTGGTAGTGTTATGTGAGTACATGTTGTGGTAGTGTGTTATGTGAGTACATGTTGTGGTACTGTATGTGAGTGCATGTTGTGGTAGTGTGTTATGTGAGCACATGTTGTGGTAGTGTGTTATGTGAGCACATGTTGTGGTAGTGTGTTATGTGAGCACATGTGGTAGTGTGTTATGGGAGTACATGTTGTGGTAGTGTGTTGTGTGAGTACATGTCGTGGTAGTGTGTTATGTGAGTACATGTTGTGGTAGTGTTATGTGAGCACATGTGGTAGTGTGTTATGTGAGCACATGTGGTAGTGTGTTATGTGAGTACATGTCGTGGTAGTGTGTTATGTGAGCACATGTTGTAGTGTTGTGTGAGTACATGTGATAGTGTTATGTGAGTACATGTGGTAGTGTGTTATGTGAGTACATGTTGTGGTAGTGTGTTATGTGAGTACATGTTGTGGTAGTGTGTTATGTGAGTACATGTTGTGGTAGTGTTATGTGAGTACATGTTGTGGTAGTGTGTTATGTGAGTACATGTTGTGGTAGTGTTATGTGAGTACATGTTGTGGTAGTGTTATGTGAGTACATGTTGTGGTAGTGTGTTATGTGAGTACATGTTGTGGTAGTGTTATGTGAGTACATATTGTGGTAGTGTGTTATGTGAGTACATGTGGTAGTGTTATGTGAGTACATGTTGTGGTAGTGTGTTATGTGAGTACATGTTGTGGTAGTGTGTTATGTGAGTACATGTTGTGGTAGTGTGTTATGTGACTACATGTTGTGGTAGTGTGTTATGTGACTACATGTTGTGGTAGTGTGTTATGTGACTACATGTTGTGGTAATGTATTATGTGAGTACATGTTGTGATAGTGTGTTATGTGAGTACATGTGGTAATGTGTTATGTGAGTTTGGTTATGTGACTGATATTGTTATGTCTAGTACCATGACTCACAAAATCGTAATGACACGATTGCAAACAAAGTGTACCACGGGGGTGGGGGGTTGAACTCGCAGTGAGACGTAAAACTCCAGACCAGTGAATTATCCACTGGGCCAGCTGGCTGCAATAAGATTATCCAACTAGGTATATTTATACACCATAGGGAAGTTAGCACAGGCCACCACTGTGACCACAAATGCAAGTTTTTAAATCCCTATGGTGTATAAATACACCTAGTTGGATGAATCTTATTGTAACCAGCTGGCCCAGTGGCTTATTCACTGGCCTGGAGTTTTACGTCTCACTCGCCACGAGTTCAATCTCTTTCCGTGGTATGGTTTTCCTAGTACATATCATGCTAGTTCTCTCACTGATATTGTTATTATGTCTGGTATCATGCTAGTTATATTTGTGTTAGCATCATGCTAGTTCTGTCTCTGTGAGAGCTATTAGGCCTGGCATTATTTTAGTCATGTCTCTGTGAGAGCTATTGTGTCTGGGTTATCCTGTGCTATCCATTGTTTAAGTTTAAGTTGAATTTCACCACAAATTGCTTTGTTTACAGTCTCACAGCCGCCAGACGTGACCAACAACACTGGAGGAGGGAACAGAGTGCCACGAGATGACAGAATCACCCGCTACTCTGGTCCACTTCCAGGCAGACAGTCTTCCTCAGATGCTGGTGAGATTGCACCACAACATCACTGATACTTCTCTATCTTGTGTTGCTAAACCTAGCAACCCTAGTTGATAACAGACAGATGTCTGTCTGTCTGTTGTGTAGATAACACCAGCATGTCCTGTCTGTTGTTGAATATAATCAGTTTGCTATCTTGTTAACCTCTGTTATGAAATGGTGGTCCAGTAGGCCTCCAGCAGTGCTTCTTATGCTCTAAACACTTAAGGCTTTTTTTATTATTTGATGATTAATGTTGCATGAACTCTCTCAATTGCATTTACAGAAATTCTTCTCTAGAGAGGAGCTCTATATTAGAGCTGGCTTAGTAATCTCTCTTACAGAGGAGCTCAATAAGAGAGCTGTCCAGTAATCTCTTTTACAGAGGAGCTCAATAAGAGAGCTGTCCAGTAATCTCTTTTACAGAGGAGCTCAATAAGAGAGCTGTCCAGTAATCTCTTTTACAGAGGAGCTCAATAAGAGAGCTGTCCAGTAATCTCTTTTACAGAGGAGCTCAATAAGAGAGCTGTCCAGTAATCTCTTTTACAGAGGAGCTCAATAAGAGAGCTGTCCAGTAATCTCTTTTACAGAGGAGCTCAATAAGAGAGCTGGCCCATAAGCTCTTATAGAGGAGCTAAATAAGAAAGCTGATCAAGTAAGCTCTTTTATAGAGCCAGTCTCTATATTATTGCATTTTTTAAGTGCAATTGAAGAAAATTTTTGGCAATAAGTACAGTGCTACCATATAAGTACAGTACTACCATATAAGTACAGTACTACCATATAAGTACAGTACTACCATATAAGTACAGTACTACCACATAAGTACAGTACTACCACATAAGTACAGTACTACCATATAAGTACAGTACTACCATATAAGTACAGTACTGTCGTGCTGAATAAGTAAAATTGGTCAGTTAGCAAGAACTCATTTAAAATTAAGTCCTTTCTAAAAATTTCTCCTGTACGTTTAAAGATTTTTTTTTTTTTCATTTATGTTAATGTAAAAATTAATAATTTTGAACCAGAAGAACCTTACTTAACCTTGTTATAACAGGCGCAATTTAATTTAGCCTAATCCAGATAAATATATTTTAGATAAGTTTTGCGAAATTATTGCATACACAAATTTTCGCCTGTCTTGTTCGGCAAGAAGAGCATTTATATTTAGGCCAAAATCGCAACTTTTACCTATTCGGCACAACAGTGCTGTCATATTAGTACAGTACTAAGTACAGTACTATCATATATAATTCTCATATTTTGTACTAATTGTTCCGTGGTACATTAAGGTAGTTATACTATTTTTTCTGAACTGGAGAGACGGTATTGGAACCCCTGGCTTTTAGGTCCCTGGCTTGTAGGTCCCTGGCTTTTAGGTCCCTGGCTTGTAGGTCCCTGGCTTGTAGGTCCCTGGCTTGTAGGTCCCTGGCTTGTAGGTCCCTGGCTTGTAGGTCCCTGGCTTGTAGGTCCCTGCCTTGTAGGTCCCTGGCTTGTAGGTCCCTGGCTTGGAGGTCCCTGGCTTGGAGGTCCCTGGCTTGTAGGTCCCTGACTTGTAGGTCCCTGGCTTGGAGGTCCCTGGCTTGGAGGTCCCTGGCTTGTAGGTCCCTGGCTTGTAGGTCCCTGACTTGTAGGTCCCTGACTTGTAGGTCCCTGACTTGTAGGTCCCTTGCTTGTAGGTCCCTGGCTTGGAGGTCCCTGGCTTGGAGGTCCCTGGCTTGGAGGTCCCTGGCTTGTAGGTCCCTGGCTTGGAGGTCCCTGGCTTGTAGGTCCCTGGCTTGGAGGTCCCTGGCTTGTAGGTCCCTGACTTGTAGGTCCCTGACTTGTAGGTCCCTGGCTTGTAGGTCCCTGGCTTGGAGGTCCCTGGCTTGTAGGTCCCTGGCTTGTAGGTCCCTGGCTTGTAGGTCCCTGGCTTGTAGGTCCCTGGCTTGTAGGTCCCTGACTTGTAGGTCCCTGGCTTGTAGGTCCCTGACTTGTAGGTCCCTGGCTTGTAGGTCCCTGGCTTGGAGGTCCCTGGCTTGTAGGTCCCTGGCTTGTAGGTCCCTGACTTGGAGGTCCCTGACTTACCAGCACTGCTGGCTTATGCAACAGTAAACTGCTCGGTACTTTGATATTTTCTGTGCTGGTAAATCTAGGTCCCCTAGACAGTGTGTTTGGATACCAGTCCTCCCCAGTAATAGTGAGTCCTGGTTTACCTTACACCCCAGTAATAGTGAGTCCTGGTTTACCTTACACCTCAGCAATAGTGAGTCCTGGTTTACCTTACACCCCAGTAATAGTGAGTCCTGGTTTACCTTACACCCCAGTAATAGTGAGTCCTGGTTTACCTTACACCCCAGTAATAGTGAGTCCTGGTTTACCTTACTCCCCAGTAATAGTGAGTCCTGGTTTACCTTACTCCCCAGTAATAGTGAGTCCTGGTTTACCTTACACCCCAGTAATAGTGAGTCCTGGTTTACCTTACTCAGCAGTAATAGTGAGTCCTGGTTTACCTTACACCCCAGTAATAGTGAGTCCTGGTTTACCTTACACCCCAGTAATAGTGAGTCCTGGTTTACCTTACACCCCAGTAATAGTGAGTCCTGGTTTACCTTACACCCCTGTAATAGTGAGTCCTGGTTTACCTTACACCCCAGTAATAGTGAGTCCTGGTTTACCTTACACCCCAGTAATAGTGAGTCCTGGTTTACCTTACACCCCAGTAATAGTGAGTCCTGGTTTACCTTACACCCCAGTAATAGTGAGTCCTGGTTTACCTTACACCCCAGTAATAGTGAGTCCTGGTTTACCTTACACCCCAGTAATAGTGAGTCCTGGTTTACCTTACACCCCAGTAATAGTGAGTCCTGGTTTACCTTACACCCCAGTAATAGTGAGTTCTGGTTTACCTTACACCCCAGTAATAGTGAGTCCTGGTTTACCTTACACCCCAGTAATAGTGAGTCCTGGTTTACCTTACACCCCAGTAATAGTGAGTCCTGGTTTACCTTACACCCCAGTAATAGTGAGTCCTGGTTTAACTTACACCTCAGCAATAGTGAGTCCTGGTTAACCTTACACCCCAGTAATAGTGAGTCCTGGTTTACCTTACACCCCAGTAATAGTGAGTCCTGGTTAACCTTACACCCCAGTAATAGTGAGTCCTGGTTAACCTTACACCCCAGTAATAGTGAGTCCTGGTTAACCTTACACCCCAGTAATAGTGAGTCCTGGTTTACCTTACACCCCAGTAATAGTGAGTCCTGGTTTACCTTACTCCCCAGTAATAGTCCTGGTTTACCTTACTCCCCAGTAATAGTCCTGGTTTACCTTACACCCCAGTAATAGTGAGTCCTGGTTTACCTTACTCCCCAGTAATAGTGAGTCCTGGTTTACCTTACACCCCAGTAATAGAGAGTCCTGGTTTACCTTACACCCCAGTAATAGTGAGTCCTGGTTTACCTTACACCCCAGTAATAGTGAGTCCTGGTTTACCTTACACCCCAGTAATAGTGAGTCCTGGTTTACCTTACACCCCAGTAATAGTCCTGGTTTACCTTACACCCCAGTAATAGTGAGTCCTGGTTTACCTTACACCCCAGTAATAGTGAGTCCTGGTTTACCTTACACCCAGTAATAGTGAGTCCTGGTTTACCTTACACCCCAGTAATAGTGAGTCCTGGTTTACCTTACACCCCAGTAATAGTGAGTCCTGGTTTACCTTACACCCCAGTAATAGTGAGTCCTGGTTTACCTTACACCCCAGTAATAGTGAGTCCTGGTTTACCTTACACCCCAGTAATAGTGAGTCCTGGTTTACCTTACACCCCAGTAATAGTGAGTACTGGTTAACCTTACACCCCAGTAATAGTGAGTCCTGGTTTACCTTACACCCCAGTAATAGTGAGTCCTGGTTTACCTTACACCCCAGTAATAGTGAGTCCTGGTTTACCTTACACCCCTGTAATAGTGAGTCCTGGTTTACCTTACACCCCAGTAATAGTGAGTCCTGGTTTACCTTAAACCCCAGTAATAGTGAGTCCTGGTTTAACTTACACCTCAGCAATAGTGAGTCCTGGTTAACCTTACACCCCAGTAATAGTGAGTCCTGGTTTACCTTACACCCCAGTAATAGTGAGTCCTGGTTAACTTTACACCCCAGTAATAGTTATTCCTGGTTAACCTTACACCCCAGTAATAGTGAGTCCTGGTTAACCTTACACCCCAGTAATAGTGAGTCCTGGTTTACCTTACACCCCAGTAATAGTCCTGGTTTACCTTACTCCCCAGTAATAGTCCTGGTTTACCTTACTCCCCAGTAATAGTGAGTCCTGGTTTACCTTACTCCCAAGTAATAGTCCTGGTTTACCTTACTCCCCAGTAATAGTGAGTCCTGGTTTACCTTACACCCCAGTAATAGTGAGTCCTGGTTTACCTTACTCCCCAGTAATAGTGAGTCCTGGTTTACCTAACACCCCAGTAATAGTGAGTCCTGGTTTACCTTACTCCCCAGTAATAGTGAGTCCTGGTTTACCTTACTCCCCAGTAATAGTGAGTCCTGGTTTACATTACTCCCCAGTAATAGTGAGTCCTGGTTTACATTACTCCCCAGTAATAGTGAGTCCTGGTTTACCTTACACCCCAATAATAGTGAGTCCTGGTTTACCTTACACCCCAGTAATAGTGAGTCCTGGTTTACCTTACACCCCAGTAATAGTGAGTCCTGGTTTACCTTACACCCCAGTAATAGTGAGTCCTGGTTTACCTTACTCCCCAGTAATAGTGAGTCCTGGTTTACCTTACTCCCCAGTAATAGTGAGTCCTGGTTTACCTTACACCCAGTAATAGTGAGTCCTGGTTTACCTTACACCCCAGTAATAGTGAGTCCTGGTTTACCTTACACCCCAGTAATAGTGAGTCCTGGTTTACCTTACACCCCAGTAATAGTGAGTCCTGGTTTACCTTACTCCCCAGTAATAGTGAGTCCTGGTTTACCTTACTCCCCAGTAATAGTGAGTCCTGGTTTACCTTACACCTCAGCAATAGTGAGTCCTGGTTTACCTTACACCCCAGTAATAGTGAGTCCTGGTTTACCTTACACCCCAGTAATAGTGAGTCCTGGTTTACCTTACACCCCAGTAATAGTGAGTCCTGGTTTACCTTACTCCCCAGTAATAGTGAGTCCTGGTTTAGCTTACACCCCAGTAATAGTGAGTCCTGGTTTAGCTTACACCCCAGTAATAGTGAGTCTTGGTTTACCTTACACCCCAGTAATAGTGAGTCCTGGTTTACCTTACACCCCAGTAATAGTGAGTCCTGGTTTACCTTACACCCCAGTAATAGTGAGTCCTGGTTAACCTTACACCCCAGTAATAGTGAGTCCTGGTTAACCTTACACCCCAGTAATAGTGAGTCCTGGTTTACCTTACACCCCAGTAATAGTCCTGGTTTACCTTACTCCCCAGTAATAGTGAGTCCTGGTTTACCTTACACCTCAGCAATAGTGAGTCCTGGTTTACCTTACTCCCCAGTAATAGTGAGTCCTGGTTTACCTTACACCCCAGTAATAGTGAGTCCTGGTTAACCTTACACCCCACTAATAGTGAGTCCTGGTTTACCTTACACCCCAGTAATAGTGAGTCCTGGTTTACCTTACTCCCCAGTAATAGTGAATCCTGGTTAACCTTACTCCCCAGTAATAGTGAATCCTGGTTAACCTTACACCCCAGTAATAGTGAGTCCTGGTTAACCTTACACCCCAGTAATAGTGAGTCCTGGTTAATCTTACACCCCAGTAATAGAGAGTCCTGGTTAACCTTACACCCCAGTAATAGTGAGTCCTGGTTAATCTTACACCCCAGTAATAGAGAGTCCTGGTTAACCTTACACCCCAGTAATAGTGAATCCTGGTTAACCTTACACCCCAGTAATAGTGAGTCCTGGTTAACCTTACACCCCAGTAATAGTGAGTCCTGGTTAACCTTACACCCCAGTAATAGTGAGTCCTGGTTTACCTTACACCCCAGTAATAATGAGTCCTGGTTTACCTTACTCCCCAGTAATAGTGAGTCCTGGTTTACCTTACTCCCCAGTAATAGTGAGTCCTGGTTTACCTTACTCCCCAGTAATAGAGAGTCCTGGTTTACCTTACTCCCCAGTAATGGGGAGTCCTGGTTTACACACACCCCAGAAACAGTGTCCTGGTTTACATCCCCCAGTAATCGTATCCTGGTTTACACACACCCCAGTAACAGTGTCCTGGGTTACACACACCCCAGTAATGGTATCTTGGCTTACACACCCCAGTAATGGTATCCTGGTTTACACACACCCCAGTAATTGTATCCTGGTTTACACACACCCCAGTAATGGTATCCTGGTTTACACACACCCCAGTAATGGTATCCTGGTTTACACACACCCCAGTAATGGTATCCTGGTTTACACACACCCCAGTAATGGTATCCTGGTTTACAACACACCCAGTAATGGTATCCTGGTTTACACACGCCCCAGTAATGGTATCCTGGTTTACACACGCCCCAGTAATGGTATCCTGGTTTACACACACCCCAGTAATGGTATCCTGGTTTACACACGCCCCAGTAATGGTGTCATGGTTTACACACACCCTGGTAACAGTGTCATGGTTTACACACACCCCAGTAATGGTATCCTGGTTTACACACACCCCAGTAATGGTGTCATGGTTTACACACATCCCAGTAACGGTGTCCTGGTTTACCTACTAACAATCCACCCCTCTCGCGGTCGCTGTATCAACGTGGTCACTACGGTAGAGACAGAGGGCTGGCGCGACGCTCTGTACCACTTTCCAGAGAACTGGCGAGGCACCGGCCGCTGGAAGGTCTCGAACAAGATCCAGCAGCTACTCAACACACTGAAGAGGCCTAAGAGAAGACCACTGCCGGAGTTTTACCTTGATGATGAGGAGGACCTGGAGATAGCGGCCAACCCTAAGGACCCTAACGCACCCAAACCTGAGGGCATGGTGATGACGCCGGCCAGGGGTGAACAGCTGGTGGTGAGTTATTCTTCTCTCTTCTGTTATAAAGCTTTTCTATATATAGTCACTTATCTTATAAAGCTACTTAATATACAGCCCCTTCTAGTATAAGGCTATTCTATATACATTATATATATCACCATCATTCAACACTATATATCACCATTTCACATTGTAACCTCAACATTCCATACCATATAACTCCACTTTCCACACAATATAACCCCACCATCATTCCACACTATATAACCCCACCATCATTCCACACTATATAACCCCACCATCATTTGACCGTCAGATCCCAGCTGGGTTACCACGGTCAGTGGAAGATGCTGTCTACCGCTACGGGTCATCTTCCGGTTACAAGGCTCCCGTAGCTACCATTCTTGACGCTAACGGCAAGCTGTCTGTCTCTCTTACATATGGTAAGATTCACTGTGTGACTATTTTCTGGTTGGGTGGGGATAGATTATAACATTGGTGGATAGTGACTATCTGGTGGGGTGGTACTATCCATCCTGTGAGTGATGGAGGAGTAGTGAGATGACAGGTAAATCCTACTGTCCCATGAACATGTAATACCTTTGATATATACCTTTGAAGAATTTCGAGAGTATATCTACTCTCTGAGCCCGGCCATGGGCCAGGCTCGTCTGGTGCTCGCCTTTTCAATCAAGCTGTTGCTGCTGGAGGCCCACTGCCCCACATATCCATCACAGCCTGGTTGATCTGGCACCTGGTGAAGATACTTGTCTAGTTTCCTCTTGAAGGCTTCAACACTTGTTCCAGCAGTGTTTCTGATATCTTCTGGTAAGATGTTGAAAATTCTGGGACCCCGGATGTTGACAGTGTGTTCCCTTATTGTCCCCACCGCACCCCTGCTCCTCACTGGGTTTATTTTACACTTCCTTCCATATCTCTCACTCCAGTATGTTGTTATGGCAGTGTGCAGATTTGGGACCAAGCCCTGGAGTACCTTCCAGGTATATATTATCATGTACCCCTCTCTCCTCCGCTCCAGTAAGTACATGTTCAAGACTTGCAGGCGTTCCCAGTAGTTTAGGTGCTTTACTGGCTCAGTGTGAACCGTAAACGACCTCTCTATTTGTTCCAGCTCCGATATTTCTCCTGCCCTGAACGGGGCCGTCAGCACTGAGCAATATTCTAAGTGAGGGAGCACTAGCGATTTGAAGAGTGTTTTGAAAGTTCTCAATACCCACCCAGTCATCTTCCTGGCTGTCGTGATCTTTGTCTTGTTATGGTCTTTAAAAGAAAGGTCCGCTGACATAATTATTCCTAGGTCTTTTACGTGTTCCTTACATTCTATTCGGTGACCCTCTTGAGTTCTGTATATAGTGCTCCTTTTGAGCTCTTCATTCTTTCCATACCTAAGCAGCTGGAACTTATCACCATTGAATGTCATGTTGTTTTCCACTGCCCACTGGAAAACCCTGTTTATGTCTTCTGTACCTTTTCAGTGCCCTCTACCGTACTGACTTTCATGCTTATTTTAGTGTCATCTGCAAATGATGATACAAAAGTGTGCCGGGTGTTTTTGTCTATGTCTGCTATGAGGATGAGGAACAGCAGAGGTGCCAGGACAGTGCCTTGGAGAACTGAGCTTTTGACCTCGCTGATGCTGGATCTTGCCCTGTTCACTACTACTTTTTGTGTTCTGTGTGTTAGGAAACCGAAAATCCATCTGCCTACCTACCCCGTAATGCCCATGGCCTTCATTTTGTGCGCTATCACTCCATGATCGCATTTGTCAAACGCCTTTTCAAAATCTGTGTAAATCACATCTGCGTTTTGGTCATCTTCCGGTGCCTCCGTAATTCTGTCATAATGGTTCAGCAGCTGTGACAGACATGATCGTCCTGCTCTAAAACCATGCTGGTTCGGGTTATGTTGGTTGTGCTGCTCCATGAAATTTGTAACCTGCTGTCTCATCGCTCTTTCGAAGATTTTTATGATGTGAGAGGTTAGGGCTGCTGGTCTGTAATTTTTAGCTAGTGCTCTACTACCTCCCTTGTGCAAAGGAGCTATGTCTGCACTCTTTAAGGCCTCCGGTATTCCACCTAGATCTAAACTCTTTCTCCAAAGAATACTGAGGGCTTGTGCTAGTGGCACTTTGCACTTCTTTATAAATAGAGCATTCCATGAATCTGGTCCAGGTGCTGAGTGGGCATGTTTTCCATTTCTTTTTCGAAATCTATGGGATTTGTACTAATGTCAGTTAGTTGGTCTGTGCGGCCTTCTTCTGGAGTGAAAAATATTTCTGCATTTTCTACCTTGCTGTCATTTAGTGGGTTGCTGAACACCGACTCGTACTGTTCTTTTAGGATTTTACTCATTTCCTGTTCATCACCAGTATACGAGTCTCCTCTCAGTAGTGGTCCAGTTCTACAGGCAGTTCTTAGCTTGGATTTTGCATAGGAATAGAAATATTTTGTGTTTCTTGCAATATCCTGTATGACCCTTTGTTCCCTTTGTACTTCTCCTGTGAGGTATGACATCCTAAGTTTTTGCTCTAATTCAGTGATCTCTCTGCTAAGTCTATCTTTCCTCTGTTGTAAGATGACAGGTAAATCCTACTGTCTCATGAACATGTAAGAGGACAAGTAAATCTTTCTCATGAACCTGTAAGATGATAGGTAAATCTTACTGTCTGATGAACATGCAAGATGACAGGTAACTCTTACTGTCTCATGAACACATAAGGTGACAGGTAAATCTTACTGTATCATCAACACATGCGCAAGGCAATGCAGGTAGCATTACCTTCATTTCTGTCCTCGTGTATGACTTTAAGTGAACTAGTAAAGAAGATTGTCCCTGAATGCTTGAGAGGTGCTGTAGGAGCTGAAGACCCCAAGTTCATGGAATCAGACACACAGTGAGACACCCTTGCAGACTCATCATGCAGATGCTCAATTTAGTTTAATAATGGCCCCAAAGCACAAAAGTAGTGATGGTGACAGCTCTTCAAAGACCAGGAAAGTCGTGAAGTGCTTCCCATCGGTGAAGCCTGCTAATTCTTGACTTATTGTGCATAATTTATCAGTTAAACTTTATCATAGGTATGTAAACAAAAAATGACTTACACATAGGGTTTGCTACTATCCACAGTTTCGGGTATCTGTGGTGAGTCTTGAAGAGTATTCCCTATGGGAGGACTACTGTACATTAAAACCAGTTTTGTGTGTCAATTATTTTGTTTTTTCCAGGTAAGCTCTTGAGTAGAAGTCAGAAGATGGCCTACAACCTGTTGAGTCGTCTTGGTGGTCGTGGCGAGGGCACGGTCATGCCTGGTGACCGTGTCGCCCTGGTCTACCCCAACAACGACCCTGTGTCGTTCATGGGAGCGTTCTATGCTTGTCTGCAGGCGGGGCTTGTACCCGTGCCCATCGAAGTTCCTCTGTCCAGGAGAGATGCTGGCTCCCAACAGGTGAGCTCCTCATTTATATTATGGTGAATTTTTTTTTATTTGTTAACATATTGGCCGCTTCCCACCAAGGTATGGTGGCCCGAAAAAAAAAAACTTTCATCATTCACTCCATCACTGTCTTGTCAAAGGCATGCTTACACTACAGTTATAAAACTGCAACATTAACACCTGTCCTTCAGAGTGCAGACACTGTACTTCCCATCTCCAGGACTCAAGTCCAGCCTGCTGGTTTCCCTGAATCAATTTATAAATGTTACCTTGCTCACACTCCAACAGCATGTCACATCCTAAAAACCATTTGTCTCCATTTCCTCCTATCTAACATGCTCACGCATGCTTTCTGGAAGTCCAAGCCCTTCGCACACAAAACCTACCTCCTTCCCTCCCCCCCCTTTCTTATGCCGACCCCTACCTCGCCTTCACTACAGATTTATACACACTCGAAGTCGTTCTATTTTGTTCCACCCTTTCTGCATGTCCGAACCACCTCAACAACCCCTCCTCAGCCCTCTGCATAATAGTTTTGGTAATCACACACTTCCTCCTCATCTCCAAACTACTGATTCTCTGCATTATATTCACATCACACATTACCCTCAGACATGACATCTCCACAGCCTCCAGCCTTCTCCTTGTTGCAACAGTCACCACCCATGCTGCACACCCAAACAAGAGCATTGGTATAACTACTCTCATACATTCCCCTCTTTGCTTCCATGGATCAAGTTCTTTGTCTCCACAGACTCCTCAGTGCACCACTCGCCTTTTTCCCCCTCGTCAGTTCTATGATTCACCTCATCTCTCATAGACACATCTGATGACAAATCCACTCCCAAATATCTGAATACATTCACCTCCTCCATACTCTCTCCCTCCAATCTGATATCCAATCTTTGATTTCCTAATTTTTTTTGTTATCCTCATCACCTTACTCTTTCCTATATTCACCTAATTTCCTTCTTTTACATACCCTACCAAACTCATCCACCAACCTCTGCAACTTCTCTTCAGAATCTCCCAAAAGCACAGTGTCATCAGCAAAGAGCAACTGTGACAACTCCCACTTTGTGTTAGATTCTTTATCTTTTAACCCCACACCTCTTGCCAACACCCGAGCATTCACTTCTCTTACAACCCCATCTATAAATATATTGAACAACCATGGTGACATCACACATCCCTATCTAAGGCCTACTTTACTGGGAAATAGACCCCTTCTCTCCTACATACTCTAACCTGACCGTCATTATCCTTGTAAAAACTCTTCACTGCTTTCAATATCCTACCTTCTATTACATACATTTGCAATTTCTGCCACATTGCCCACCCTGTCATACGCCTTTTCCAAATCCATAAATGCACAAAAACCTCTTTACCCTTATCTAAATACTGTTCACCTATATGTTTCACTGTAAACACTTTGTCCACACACCCCCTACCTTTCCTAAAGCCTCCTTATTCAACTGGTATCCTGCTCTCCTACTTACTCTTAATTCTTTCAGTAATAACTACTATACACTTTACCAGGTATACTCAAGAGACTTCTTCCTCTATAATTTTTACACTTTTGTACCCTTTGCCTTTATACAAAGGAACTATGCTTTCTGCTAGTCTCTAGGTACCTTACCCTCTTCCATACATTTATTAAATAAAAGAACTAACCACTCCAAAACTATATCCCCACCTGCTTTTAGCATTTCTATCTTTATCCCATCAATCCCAGCTGCCTTACCCCCTTTCATTTTACCTACTGCCTCACGAACTTCCCCCACACTCACAACTGGCTCTTTCTCACTCCTACAAGATGTTATTCCTCCTCGACCTATACATGAAATCACACTTTCCCTATCTTCATCAACATTTAACAATTCCTCAAAATATTCCCTCTATCTTCCTAATACCTCTAACTCTCCGTTTAATAACTCTCCTCTCCTATTTTTAACTATTAGATTCATTTGTTCCCTAGGCTTCTCAACATAGTAATCTCACTACAGAATTTTTTCTTGTTTTTAACAAAATTTGTTGACAACATCTTACTTTCTTATGAAATTCATCTATACAGGAATATCTTCCATAGCGCAGTTAATTGCTGAAAAGTTCCATGCTATGCCAAACTGCGCTGCTGAAAATATGATGTATTGTACTGTCATGCATTCCAGAGAAACACGTTACAGTATTGGTGGAAAAAATTACACATCATTTCTTTACTGGAAACTCACCAGAAATATTAATCTTTCTTTCAACACACCGGCCATATACCACCAAGGCAGGGTGGCCCAAACAGAAAAACGAAAGTTTCTCTTAAATTTAGTAATTTATACGGGAGAAAGGGTTACTAGCCCCTTGCTCCCGGCATTTTAGTCGCCTCTTATATGCACTAAAAATTGACAAAGCATTTAAATAGAACAAAAAATAGATCATTTTTCTTTTTTTGCACAGATTTCTTCTTTATATTCTCAGCATGCATGTCTTTGTAACATAGAATACCATTTTACAGTGCTTGCCAAACTTTAGTGTTTTGTTCACTGTTAGGGTCAGTGTTTCTAGGAAAATCAAAAGCATCTATTTTTCTGATAAAAGTCAAAAGCTCGTTCATTAAGAATTCTTTTGTAGTCACTTCAGCGGCAGTTTCATCTAATTGGTCTTCCTCTTCATAATAACATTGTTGTTCCATCTCTGCCAGAGTTCCATTATCTGAATCATTTGAATGCAGGTCAATGCATTCACGCACATGGTCAGAATCCAGGGTTTCAAATCCAGGATCTTTCGCAGCTTTGTTGTGATTGCAGTCTTCAGTCCATATCATCCTTTACATCTGATATTATTCATAGCTAAACTGCTATGTCTAATGATCACTTTCTTCATATATGATGCTGTACCATTCCATCTTTTATGATTTCATCTTTCTTCTTAGTGTTTGTAGTCATGACTCATTTGCACCACTGTCATGTGATATTTCAGCATAAGATGCTGCGTCTTCATGATATTATAATTTCAAGTTTTTTTTTTTTTAACACATCGGCCATTTCTCACCAAAACTCTATACGGCTCCCCCCATCTGACCTTCTAATATGGTCACCGTGCCCCACCCGGTTTGTTTACATTTTTTGTGAGCTCTGTGAGTGTTGCGGCCCCTGCCAAACTAGCGGTTAAATAGTTAACCTGCCGGCCGGCAGTACCACTGGGTGCGTCATCAAACCCAATGTGGGGGCTGCTGAGCCGGCCTTAGAGCAGTAAGAGCCTGAGTGCCTCACGGTACACACCTAAGCAGTAGGTACCTGACCACCGAAGGGTACACGTCTACTGGCTTTAGTAACAGTATGTACCAGAGCGCCTCGCTGTACACACCTAAGCAGTAGGTACCGGACCACCGAAGGGTACACGTCTACTGGCTTTAGTAACAGTATGTACCAGAGCGCCTCGCTGTACACACCTAAGCAGTAGGTACCTGACCACCGAAGGGTACACGTCTACTGGCTTTAGAAATATTATGTACCTGAGCGCCTCGCTGTACACACCTAAGCAGTAGGTACCTGACCACCGAAGGGTACACGTCTACTGGCTTCAACATTAAGTACCTGAACTCCTCAGGGTACACGTCTATGCAGTAGGTACCTGACCACCGAATCGTACCTATCTACTGGCGTTAGAAGAACCGCTCACCGCAGCTCACTGAGTCTGTTGGCCTCAGTTACTTGACGGCCGCATTCAGTGAGCTTGCAGCATGGTGTTCGGCTAGCGGTGTGTCAACCGCCTTTGGAGAGGATTTACTGGACTACCGGTGATGTCTGTGGACTCACCGTCTACGTTGATCAACTGTGGGCCGGAGTCGTCAGATGCTGTTTAGTGGGACATTACATGAAGAAAAGGTTGGAGTGTTACACTGAACTGGGCCAGGACCGTAGTGTGACACTGAGGGACGTACGATGGAGTGGAACACTGAGATATGCACAGGACCGTAGTGGAACACTGAGATGAAAAGGGTGTCGTGGGACACTGAAGATGGCCTGGTTGTAGTGTACACTGAACAGTGTCGTGTGACTGACTTCGTGTCGTGAGAGGCAGTTGATTGTAATTTATTATTATAAAAATGTTATTTATAATTTATTGTTTTAGCATAGAGATATATATATATAGTGACAGTAGTGTCAAGAGTTGTACCCTGTGTAGGGTCACGAATAATTATTTATTATTTTAGTTAGATGCTAATTATAATTTATTATAGTAACATGTACATATTATTATTATATCATAGTTCAAATACCTCTAGACCAAAGATAGTTGATTTTTATATATTAAAGATTAATTTATATTAATGTGTGTATTTATGTATCCCGAACTCTTTATTACAAAAGAAGTAAATCTTAACATCTCTCTCTTCCTTTTAAAACTTACTTTTTTTGTAATAGTGAGCATGACTCTCCGTTATGTCTGGAAACTTTCCAAAATTTCAAATGTTTTTAAGTTATTTCATATTTTTTATATACGTACAGTGGAACCTCAAATTTCGAACTTAATCCTTTCCAGGAGCTAGTTCTAAATTCGAAAAGTCTGAAATTCGAAGCAATATTTCTCATAAGAAATAATGGAAATACAATTAATCCGTTCCAGAAACCCAAAAAATATTCACAAAAAAAATACATTTTATAGAGATTAATTATAGTTTTACATACACACAACAAATGGTATAGTCTTTAATTATGTATAACCCTTTCAGGGTCCAAGGCCAAAATCTGAAGTCATGCACCAGTGTCCAAGAAATTTAAAAAAAAAAAAATTATTTTTTCTTACAGAATTAAAGAGCATATTTTTGTGAAGGTAATAAAACAAAAAAAATTAGAATCTGATCAGTACTTACCGAGATACAGTGCCAAGAAGTTTGTAGAAAATGATGTGGTGGCGGCAACATCGACGAATTCCACATACGCTTTATTATATTATTTTGTTGTTTTAGTTGTTTTTCTTTTCTTTTCCAATTTTTTTTCTATTCCTACAAACAT